TTTAATCCAAACTTTAAAACATAATTTTAATGTTGTTTATGACAATTGGCTTTTCTACTCCAAGTCTCTAATAGAGACTTCGTTGGCGACCAATAATATAGTATATTATACAGTATATTGTGTAAATTTCAAATCAGGAATTTGAAAATAAATTAATTTTTAAATTAAAATTTAATAAAATTAAACAAAATGTTTATATTAAAAGAAGTTTGCGCAAAATTAATGGTGAAAATGCCAAAAATTTTGCATTAAAAATTTTAACCAATTTTTATTCCAGTAATTTAATTATGTTTGTAATCGCAATTAAAATTCATGTATGTGAAGTAAAATAATTACGTTAGTCGTAATAAAAAACGTATTCATTTATCACAAAATTTCTTATTTTTCAAATAACTTTTTCCTATTATGTCCAAATTTGAAAATTCCTTCAGAATAATATTCCTCTCATCAATACCTTACTATCGATATATAATATGATATACTTATTCATAAATTGAAAGATCTGATTTTAAAAATTTTGCCGATAAAAGTGGTCACTGCGGCCAGACCCGACGGAATCCGGACATATGAAGTATATCACTCGACTACCCATTGAGTGTACTTTCATTTTATAACAATAATTCCCGAGTGCCCGCTAACACACAGATGCGCATCCTCTTTTATATAACTGTCAATCTATGTAATAATTAGTGCACTTATGTTAAAAACAATTTTAAAATTAATATATGGTAATTATATTTATGATAATTCAATTATTAGTAATGACGTTCCTTATTTTCTTATCTATAATTGGTATGTAAATATACTTTCAAATATTTATATAATAAGGTATTTTTAAGTGTTAATTAACATGTATTATTAATCTGTATTATCAGATATAAGACAAATTGTTTACAAATGTATGGCGATGTCAAAGCCACCATTTGCAATGTTAGTCAATGCAAAATACCAGATGTTTAATGTCTAACTTCTTTAATAGATTAACGTATAATTTGAAAATTTATAAGATTATGTGTGAGAGAGAGAGAGAGAGAGACGTGGAAAATAGTTGTTAAGAAATACTGAATAAGTATTTAAAATAAGTTGAAAACACACTTCGTTTACAGACGAGTGGAGACGAGCCGTGCAGTACTTTACACTACGAAACCATTATAAAGAAATTGAGAGAATTGGGCGCTAACTCCCTAACCCTTACCATCAAATATATCTCTATTTCTGGTCAATAGTTAGATATAATAAAACTGAAAAATACATATAATCATATAATAGAAGAGTATATATAAAAAGTGAAGAGAAAGAGACCAAAACTTACAGCGAGTGTGAATTGAGAGCGGAAAGTGTGTTAAAAATCTTAAAACTAGTGATAGAGTGTGTGTTTTCGGTAAAAATGTACGACAAATACATAGAAATGTGTGGAAAAGTTTAGAGCAAAATATATATCTCTCTCTTATTCTTCTGGTCTGAATGTATGGACAAAAAAGTAGCTCAAAATTGATTAGTTATCGATTGGTTTCTGTGTGTTTCGGTAGCGAGAAATGCAATGCAAGAATTTTTTGCGCCAATTCTTAAGCCTTAAAATTTGAGTTATTGACTGATATTTCTCTTATATTTGTCTCAAAAAATTTTCGGTTCCGTCTAATCATGCGTTTACAACGGCTTATGATTGATTGCACGGCAATAGACTCAAGCAATTGTATAACCGATTCAATAGATTTTTGAAAAAATTCTTTGATTTTCTCTTTTCTATCCAAAAATAATGTGCAGAATATTCTGTAAAATCGTTGGTCATTGAAGAGTAGAGCGTGTTTTTCCAGACATAAACATTGAGTGCAATAAATTTTTAACATCGTTTTTAAGAAACATAAATAACAAATACATTACTATATTAAACATAATCTGTTTTTGAAGAGCAAACGTATTCAATATTGTGAATGCATTATAGATTTGTATGGCATTGGGAAATATGGGAGCGAAAGATGTATCGCTAGTCCGACAGTCAGACAGACACTCGACTATAAGTACAGAATCGATATCTAAGTTATAATACATTTATAGAGTTATGAAAGTAATATTTACAGCTTCACTGCATCCCGACTTTCCTTATTCTCTCTCTCTCTCTCTCTCTCTCTCTCTCTCTCTCTCCTAAAGGCATCTCTTATTTTAGTAATCAATGCATTGAATTGCAGTGAAGATAAGCAGACACTCGCAGCGTATAAATAAAAAGAGAGAATATATATATGTTTAAAACATTGTTTTCCTTTTGAGCAAAAAATATGTAAAATTAAAATTAGGCAAAAAGAGTGAGACATATATTGAAATCGATTTAATATCCAAATAAAAGGAGAAATAAAACAATTAATTTAATGGAAAAACATATCATCAAATGCTTTGCTAACTCTTTTCGCCAAATGATTGAAACCAAAGAAATGGAGAGAAATAATAATAATGAGAAGCCTTACGGCTATTGAAGAGAAGAAGAAGAATATAATCATAAAAATAATGAAAAAAACTTTGGAAATACAAAAAAACTTTTTCCCGTTTTTCTCTCTTAATCCCTAACTATGACTTCAATTCGTGTTTAATTAACACAGAAATACAATATTTCTTTTGTATAGGAATTACATTATGAATAAATAAATGGATAGATAATAGAAATAACAGCAAAAACACAAGTAATAAATAAACAACAATACAATATGAATACATGTGGTGTCTGTGTGTCTATAAAAACAATATTCAGCGCATTATTATTTCAAATGCAATGTTAGGGATATAATGGTGTGGAGAGAAGAGTAAGTGATGTATACATACTGTGGATCTCTAACGTCTGGCAGTTTCCGTTCAATTGATATTAAATCACTGATGTATTGATTGAATGCATTGCTTTCCCATCCCTTATCTATTTTGCGCTGAATTTCAGTCGAAATATTCTGCAAAAAAGGAGAAAAATCACACAAAAAATAAGAGACAGAATCAAAAGGAAGAGAAAAATAGGAAAGAATTAAATTAAATTTAGACTAAATGTAGAGCAAAACAAAAAACAACACTAATATATAAAAAAAACTGTTGTCAGCTCTCAAGCAATCAAACAAAACGGCAAAAAATAAAACAAAAAATACTGTAAATAACAGAAAATAAATGCTAAATATTATAATAATATTAATATCTTATATTAAATAATATAACAAAGGGTTGGCTTACGGTTAATACGACAGGTTTGCCCATTTCGCCATAGCTCGAGGCGTCTTTGGGCGCCGGTATCACAGCTGCTCTTTCCAACTCTTCCTTCTGTTCAAAGAATTCAAACATATATTTTAAATACACATTCAATGGACACACAAAACAATACCACAAATTATATCATAGAGAGGAATGTATTATTAAAATTCATGATTTAATCTCAAAAACAAATCTCTGGTAAAAAGAAAGAGAAGACCAGAAGAAGAAAGGGATTAAATAAGAAGAAGAAGAAAAATACTGACGAGAAAAACACGATTTAAAAGTCAAATACCTTTTCTCGAAGTAATTGCGATTTTTTATTCATTTTTGGTTTTTTCCTAATCGTATTGTCTTCTTGAGGGACCACTTCG